GGATGTGATTGGCGGTTATGAAAGCTTTTTGATGATGATGTTTGAAACTTTTGATTTGGTTGTTTTTGAACGTTCATTGAATTTTAAAGGGATCTCTTGAAAGCGGTTTTCAAAAGGTTTTTGAAAAGGTTTTGGTTTTTGTTTGGAAACCTGTTTTGAGGTATGACGTATGGTTTAAAAGGTTTGTTGGTTGTTTTCAAAAGCCTTTGGTTTGTTAAGTGGGGTTATGGTTGCTTCATGGTATGTTTGATTTGGTTTGTGAAGAACTAGCACAGTTTGTTTCAGATTTTACAACACTTTTGATAGACTTTTTTGGAAACAGTGAAAGCAGTGTCATCTGGGCTACAGTTGATAACTGCTCATCATCTGAATCTTCCTCATTAGCAGATGTGAAAAGATCTGGAAGAGTGGATTCAGAGTTTTCACAAATTGTCATGTTTTCTTGTTTAGCTAGTTCATTTCAAAGGATTCTCTTCCAATTCCTGGTCTGTAATTCGTATCAATTTTGCCAGTTCCTAAGGTGTTTGCTTTGGTGAAAACATCATCACTTAGTTTTCTAGCAATTTGATAGAATTCATATTCCATATCAATCCTTTTATTTTCAGATTCAAGAAATTGGTTTGGTTTAAAGAATCAGTCAGTTTTTCATTTAAAATTTTGTATTTTTCAGTTGATTCTTGAAAGTTTTGTTTCAACTGAAGGATTTCCTTTTCTAAAACATCTTTTGTTTCAGAGGAAATGACTGACTGATTTTTTTGTTCCAAATCCTTTTTCTGAATTAGGGTTTGATTTAATTGTTCCAAGACGTGATTATAATCTCTGATTTTCTTTCAACGTCTCTTTCCAATTTGTTCTTTATCCTTGTCGATTCTCCAAATTTGAGTTGCAAGGTTTGTAACTCAGATTTGCAGATATCGGAATGATCATTGTGTCATGATAATTTTTGAGATCAGCTTCTAGACTTTCTCAATCCTGGTTATATGGGACTCAAAATTGATTTCGAAAGACCAAGTTCAGAAATCATAGACCATACCTGTTCTATGACGTTTGGAGCTCTTGAGGTCTATCAAAACACCAACTACGAAACAGAAGTTTGATTGTGTTGGTTCATTGTCAGCTTCGTCTTCAGAAGTTGGCCAGTATTCCACGTTTGGTTCATGGATTGCCATCAATGCTCTTTGCTTATCTTGATTTTCCTGTTTCTTTAATTAATCGGCTTTTTGAGCGTAGTATGCTGAGTCTTTGACTTTGGTTTGTTTTTGGCTCGGCATTCTCTGGCATAGTGATTAGTTCCTTTGCAGTTGTGACAAATGATCACTTCTTCATCACTGTCATCCTTTTGACTTTTAATCGGAAGTCTTTCAGGAGCTTGAGTTTGGATTTGTTGGGAAGATTGGGAAGGGTCTGTTGGAATCCAAAATTTTGGTTGTTTTGAAAGCCATTGTTTTGATTAGTGTAACCTTGATTTTGGAATCCTCTGTTTTGGTTTTGAAAACTGTTGTTTTGGTTATTGTTTATGATGACTTGAGTTGGGTTGTTTTGAAATCCCTGGTTTGAAAACCTTGGTTTGAATTGTTTTGGAAGGAAGGTCTTTGAAAATTTTGTCCAAAATAAGGTCTTGGTTGAAAACCTGAGTTGTTTCGAACAGGTTGAGGTCTTGGTTGAAATCTAGAATTATTTTGTCCAAATGATGGTCGGTTTTGAAAATTTGGTTTAAAATTCGATTGACCGTGATTTGGAATAAATCTCTGGAGGTTTGTGTTTGCTACCAAAGCACACAGTTGTTGGTAGTCTGCTTCATCATTTAAATCAGATTGATCAAAAGAATTGTTCAAAAATGGTTGGTTTTGAAAAGATGTCTTATTAAAATGATTGAAGTTTTGTTCATTAAAAGGTGTTTGGTTTTGAGAAGATGTGGAAACGAGAGCAAGTGGTCCTCCAAAAGCTGTAGTGGTTTGGTGGGTCAATCGAGGATTCATACGATTGAAGTTCTCCATACAAATTGTATAAAGTTTCAGTATGAATGGCTGGATTTCCCTGAATGATGAGTTTAACCTCTCCAGCTTTCGTAAAGATTGTTTAGAAACTTGAGATTTATCTCGTGTTGTGTCTTTTTGATGCCCAAATTGTTCATTTTTACATGATAAAATTGAACCTATCATGAGCATCAAGGATGGTTTCTGATGAAAGCATCTTGAAATTATCGAATTCATTTAAAACAGATGTTCTTTTGTTTCCAATAATTCTTTGATTTCCACAAAAACGATTTTTTAAATTTCCCAGATTTGATTTGCAGTCAACAGTATTATGTCATCGATTTGACTTAGAATACTGTGGGGAATTCCAGACACAAGTTCCTTTTTGGCTTGGAGTTGCAGCCTTTTTTCGGTTTCAGCAAGAGTTGCTTGATTTGTAACAAGAGTAGCCATGTCTTCTGGAGTAATATATGTTCCTTCTACACAATTCCAGACATTTTCATTTATGGAGTTGAGATGAAGATTCATACGGCCACCCATGAATTATACTCTTCGGGAATAAGTATGGGTGCCCGTGAACCAGATCCCAAGCTGTTAGCAATAGAACAGAGTTCATGTTGGAATAATTAGCAGAAGACATAAAATTTTTTTTTGTTTTTGAAAAGATTTTGAACACGTGATATTAAAATGAAATTTTTAAAGAAACGTTAATGGAAGGTTTTTAAAAAAAACGCTAACCAAAGGTTTTCGACAAAAATTTCAAAGTAAATCACACAAGCTCTGAATTTTTTGTTTAAGATTTTTTTTTAATTTTTTTTAAGGATTTTGAACAAGTGATATTAAAATGAAATTTTTAAAGAAAAGCTTATGGAAGGTTTATAACGCTAACCAAATGTTTCGACAAAAATTTCAAGGTAAATCACACAAGCTCTGATATCAATTGTTGAAAATATACGATCTGATTACCACGAATAAAGGCTCGGATACCAGTTATTGGGTGACAGATATATATATTTAAGGAGATAAGATGCGGAAAAAAAATAAGAAGTGCGGAGTAAATATAAACTGGAAAGCTATAAATGACTGAAAGCTATAAATGAAATAAATGACAGTATTTAAATGACGTAAAGCTGTAATAAAATATATAAATATATAAATATATATAAAGTCGGTTCGTCAATAAATTGATGAACTGGTTTAGAATTGGACTGGATCTTAATAGACTGTGTCTCTATTTGTTCAAAGTTCAATCCGGTAAGTAACAATAAGTTCTTTTTATGTAACAATGAATTGTTTACAAAACGATACAAAATACACGGGTAATGTTTTTTGTATGTGGGTATGGGTTTTTTTAAGGTGATTTGATGAGGTTGAAGTGGGTATTTGGAGGTGGTAGAAGGTGGAATAAGGTTGTAGTTTTGGTGGTATAAGGTAACAAAGAGGGTGATGTTGAAAGAGCTTTGGTGGTTATGATATAGATTTTCGTAGTAAATCTCTCTGGATAGCCAATTCTCTCTCGCGTCTCTCTGGGGTTTGCAGTGGTCAAAAAAAATCGAGGAAAATTCCTGGATGTAGGTAAGGTCCTGAATAATTTGCGGTGCAAATCTCCCGTATTATCTTGGTGAGTTGTGCTCAGTGAATTTTTCTTAACTTGCAAATTCTGATGTCGAAAAACAGCAAGGTGATGATGGGGTGGTGATTTGAAAGGGGTTTTGGAGGAGGTTTAAGGAGGGTACTTGGAGGGGTTTTGGAGAGGATTTTGAGGTTGATTGGAGGTTGATATAAGGGGGTGATGGGGGTGAAAGTGATGAAGGATGAGGTTTGATGGGTTGAAGAGGAACACCTTGAGTTTGAATGAAGAAGATGAAGATGGTTGATAATGTTCTTCATTTTTGTTGTTGTTGATCTTGATGTTCTGGGTTAGGGTTGTTTGGTGATTGAGAGAGTTTTATGTTCAGGGAATTTACAAAGAAAAATGAACACTCACACTATAACATATGAATCTCTCTACGCTCTTAGATCTCTCTCGCTCTCTCGCGCCATTATCACCGACACTATCACATGGGCATATACTTGAAATGTCTTCAAGCACTTAGTCTTTTTTATTGAAAAGAAGGCTGGTGTATGCAAGTTGGAGAAGAAAAAACGGGGGGGGGGGGGGCTTATCATTTCCCTCCCTTTTCCTTTTGACCTTCCACCGAATATATGAATAGATAATACATATACACATATATAAGACATAGATATATATATATAGATAATATAGATATATATATATATAATTCTAGATATAGATATAGATATATAGATATAGACATGTATGGAGGTATTATACATACACACATATATATATATATAGATATATATATATAGATATATATATAGATATATATATATATATATATATATAGTATAGAAGACTCTAATAGATACATACATAATATATATAATTCGAAACTAGATATATATCTCTATATATATATATATATATAAGATACATACAGATAGATAATACATCTATAGAGATAAATACATACATACAATATATATATAGTATATACATACATATATATTATCTATATATATTATAGATATATATTATATATATCTATATATATATATCGTTGAAAACTGTTTAGTCATGCATATGTGTTTTCGTCATCGCTGGTTTTTGTATTTTCCGTTTTGATCACGCATTCATGCACACCTGAAATAACTGATAATATTTGTTAGATAATACAAATACAGCTCGTCTTATTTCAGTGATGGTTACATACAATGTCACATACAAAGACATTTTTCAACAGTTAGCGTCCTGTGGGGTTATGAACTTGATCATCATTTTGAGACCTCCCGTGTAGTAGATCCTCCCACTAACATTGTTGTCCATTTTGAGTAAAGTAGGCATCGACGAGATGTGTTGCGCGCTAATGACTTCACCAGATAGTATGCAAGCTTCCCAACCACGGCAAACCATACCAGGTTTAACCAAGACAGGGTCACAAATGGAACTGGGAAACTCCTCTAGGCGACCTTCAGCTGCCACTGCTTCTGTGTATGATCTGTGACCACAAAACACATAGGGTTTGGGATGTTGTAGGTGTGTAGGGGGGGGGGGGGGGGGGAGGGAGGAGGCGGCGGTCTCCGCATCGCCTCAAAACCAATATTGGGTTTGGACTGTTTTTGGTATCTGGCGATGTTAACTTTGAGTATATAGTGGCATCTGACTCTTGACATTTCCTTCTTCAGTGTTTTTGCGTCCCTTACTCCTTCAAATCTTACGAAAGCAAAGATAGAACCAGTTTTATCTTTCTTCCCACCGATGTATATGTCTACCACCTTCCCAAAAATTTCAAACTCCTTTGTTATTTTGAATTTCTTGATTCCAAATGGAAGGTTTGAGACGTAGTATGAAGTTACGTGTATGTGCTCTGTGTTGTGTTGTGAGGGCTTTGACTTCCCGATGAACCTCCGTCCACTCGCCATTGGGGTTGTCACGACCGTCGGTCTCCTTTGGGAGCATTTTTTATGTGGTAGGTTTGGTTTGATAAGTTGACACTTATATTTTTACTTAGATGTCAAAATTATGGGATGACTAAGCTAAACAAGACGTGAGGAGCAATCCGAAATTTTAGTATAAATACATATTGATTTTATTCAAAAACCATACATGTCATGTATAAAATATACCTCAATTAATATACTAAAAAATAAAAATTAGGCTTCTACATATTTCAAGAAACACCATTATAATAATCAAGCACCAATGATAATGATTGGAATTGATATATACTTTTCATCAAATACAACAAAGCAAACAAATTAAGCTAACTAGCGGTGATTAACCCAGTGACACAGTACTATATATTTAAGTATAATAAAATTAAGCAAGAAACATAAACAAATGTAATATATGAATAAAATAACATCTTTTATATAATTTCTTTCCATTTACCTTTACCTTTTCCTTTTGCTGTCTTTTTCTCTAGAAAAATGCTGAAAGCCATAAAAAGGTGAAAAGCAAAAGTTAAATTTACAACACGCTAAAGTCTACACTTGGGAAAAGAAGAAAAAACCAACTGGGTTCTAATTTTGATATGTTCACAGTCACTTCCAAAGTCAAACCAAACAAGATAACACTATTAAATTTTATGTAACACGTGTAATTTTATGCAACACGAACACGATATCAGACGGACACAAATTCAAATTTCCCCAATCTCGTTCAATATATCATCATGTATTTTTATAGGTTAACATTCTATTTTAAACCGAATCAAAAGTCGATTTTCCAAGAAAAAACTAGATTTGAGAGGCAAGATATGTTCACAATACCAAGATATGTTCAGGAGTATTCCGCTAAAATATTCCAAATTTTAACGAAATAGTATGAACTTTTGGCAATTACACAATTATTATCACCAATAACTACAATCTCCAAAACGACAATAGAATACAAACTATTCGTTTGTATGAAAGAGTTTAACAACTAACATCAAGCTAGACTAGTGCAAACATCTAGCTCACTATGAATGCCAAAACCAATCATGTCCAATGTATACCTCAATGTACCAAAATCTGGGCTTCTAGATGTTTTAATAAACTTCACAACTAAACAGTCTAAACTATTATAATAATCAAGTAGCAATGATTGAAATCTATCTATTTTTTTTTATCAAACACAATATAAGAGCACGAATTATAATTTTATAAAAATATAAAATATTTTTTAGAACGTTGAAAGCTTTATATAAAACCAACTAGCTAGGGAATAATGGAAAAAGTAACAAAATCATAACAATTACATAGGAAAACAAAAAAAACATGAGGAACACCAAAAAAACAATATAACCCAATTTTTTCCGCACTATGTTTAAACCACACAAAAAAGACCCCTTTAGCTCCTCTACAACACGACCTATGGGTATCAAACAATCACACCCAGTTTTGGTATAGTCTTGCTTTCCTTGATTTCAGCCAAAAGGCTGAGAATATAGCATTCAAAAGCTTAAGATTGTTAGTGTATTACTTATCATTGTATGAAAAGCTCATTATGTATTATTTCTTGTAAAGACCATATGTAAACATTTATATATTCCTTTAATGAGATGAGATGTGCATGGGCTTGCGTACATGGTATCAGAGCTAACCCTACTTCAACTCTAAGTCGTCGACCTCCCTCTTTCTTGAATAGCTGATTTTCTCTTCTTCTCACATCTCATCTCATTCTTGATCTTAATCCCTTACTTTTGTGATGACCGGAAGTGAAGTTCCTAAAGCTACACCGATCACTGAAAAGCCTTATGGAATTGCCAATATCTGTTCTTCCATCCTCGTAATTCTTGATCTTGATCGAATGAATTATGACTCATGGAGAGAGCTGTTCGAAACTCGCTGCTATGGTGTGGCTCATCATCTCAAAGAACAAACTGATCCTGCACCATCTGACATGGAGGAATGGAAACGAATTGACAATATTGTCAAGATGTGGATCTATGGTACACTCTCCCCTTCTCTTTTCCAAATTTCGTCCAAACGAAAGCCAAATGCTTTTGCATTATGGTTGTATCTTGAGATTCTGTTTCGTGCCAATAAAGACTCCAAGGCGATGCAATATGACACCGAGCTTCGAAATATTTCAATGGGAACTTCCACTGTCACTGAATACTGCACCAAGATTCAAACTCTGGCTGATCTCCTTGAAAACTTGGATGCCGAAGTTCCAGAGAAACCCATTGTGATCTACACAATTAATGGTATTTCTCCTAAATTTAACCATGTTGCTAGTTTGATCCGTCATAAAAAACCACTTCCCTCGTTTTCCGACACTCGAGTTATGTTACAAGTTGAAGAGCAAATAATCCAGTTGATGATCAACGAAATAAAGGTCATCTCCATTCTTACCAATCTTCCTCGACATATGCTCTTGTCACTGGCCCTAGCTCTCAATCAATGTACACTTGTGGCAACAATCAAGGTGGACGCGGCAGACGTAATGGAAGAGGGTGTCATGGTGGCCGACATGGCGACAGAGGCAGTCACAACGGGGGACACTCCACCAGCAATCAAGTCGGTCAACAGCAGTAGCTTCCGGCGGGTTGGGGTTTCGGCTGGTACCCTCTCGCTGGATCATTGGGCTCATCGACAATGCATCAGCAGGATGACCTGCTACCGCTGCCTTCCTCCCAGAGATTTATGACCCAACAGACTCCCTGGTTCAATGCTCCTCAGCAGACTCACCAAACTGGACATGCCCACCTTCCGCATCAGGCTTTTGTGACGTTGACATAGCAGCCCATTCCCGCTTGGGTTGATTTGGTCCATCAAGCTCATATTTGCAGCAATCTCAACACACTGCTCTTCCGAAATTATTCAACATGATGTCTCTGAATGATCCCAGTAACCACGGCCGGTATATAGATACCGAGGCCACTACTCACCTTCATGCAGAAGCAGGTATCCTTAAAAACTTTAGCAAACATGTACCATGTTCTTTTGTTGTTGTTGGTGATGGATCTAAAATTGTTGTAAGTAATATGGGTGACATTGACCTTTCTTTTTCCAACCCTTATCGTCCCCTTTCCTTGAAAAACGTCCTTATTACCCCCAATATAATTAAGAACCTTATTTTTGTGCGTCGGTTTAATAATGAAAACTCTTGTAGCAATGAGTTTGATCTTTATGGTTTTTATGTGAAGGATCTTCAGACCAAGCAAACCCTTTTTCGATGTGCCAACACTGACGATCTATATCCTATTACTGCACCAATTCCTCAAGCTTCAGTCTCTCTTAGTCCAATCCTTTGGCATCAACGTCTCGGTCAACCGTGTCGTCCAATTTTTCAATATCTTGTCTCTAATCATTTACTTCCATGTAAAAACATTAAAAATTCCATTGTGTGTCATGCAAGTCAACATGGAAATCATACTCAGTTACCTTTCGTTTATCTGATTTTATTTCTTATAAACCATTTGAGTTAATACATTATGATGTTTGGACCTCTCATATTACTAGTATAAGTGACATTAAATACTATGTTGGTTTTTCTTGATAACTACTCTCATTTTGTTTGGGTGTAACCGTTACGATATAAATTTGATGTGTTTACTAAGTTTGTCCATTTTCATTAATATGTCTAAACTCAGTTTCACACAAAAGCCAGTCTTTTCAATGCGATAATTAGGAGGGGGGATACAACAATAACAATTTTCATCAACTTTGTAATTGTTAGGAAGTAAAGCGGATAACTAGCAAAACTATAAGCACACAAGACACAATATTTACGTGGTTCGGTCAAGGTGACCTACGTCCACGGGCAGGAGGGGGAGTATTCTTTTATTTCAGAGCTCTCAAATATAGGTTACAAGTACAATTACACAAATATTCTCTTATCACTCTGGAATTCAAGATACAAAATGACCTAGCATGCATCCCTATTTATACTTAAGGGATCAGACCTAAAACCCTAATGGGCCAAGCCCATTGGCCTATAGGCCCATGAAATGTGTCAACCAATCACAATCCGCCATGCAACATCTTATGGAACATTCATCCATGTCATACAACCCATGAGCATCAGCAACACACATGATGGAGCACGTTGTGCCATAGTGGAGCAACATGATGTATAAGTGGTGCATCATGAACACTAATGGCCCAACAACCATCATGGTGGCACAACATGGTGTAATCCTTGAGCAATACCAACTTTTGAGAATCCTTGAATGAACTTGAGCATCATAGAGGACTTCATAGCATACTTGGCTCATGAACCCTGGGCGCAACAACATCTTTCTTGGCCCTTCCCTTCAACATATGGTGCAACAAGGTTCCCTTGTTGCTCCATATCACTCCCACGTGCTCCAAACCTCTTCCAGTTGCTCCACAGTCCCTTCTGTACGATCCGTTACTTTGGCACCTGATCCGTTCCTTTTTCAGACGATCCATTCGTTTCTGAGATGATCTATTCCTTTGTCACATGCTCCATGAACCCCAAGTGCTCCATTTAGTTCCAATTATTCCAAATGCTCCATGAACATGATCCAAATGCTCCATGAACATGATACAAATGTTCGATTCACATTTAACAATCTCCACCTTGACCTGATCATCCTGTGAACTCCACCTCGAACAAGAACTTCCTCTCCCTTCCTGCCATGCGTCCCCGAAGGGACCTACCTCCTGCGAACATCAACCAAGTCCAAGCAAAGCTTGAACTTCTCCATGGGCAACAACTTTGTCAACATATCTGTTGGGTTGACCTTGGTATCAATCTCTAGTATTCAAAACTTGTCTCCTTCTAGAATACCCCGAATGAAATTCAGCCTGAAATCAGTGTGCTTTGTCTTCTCGTGATACACAGGGTTCTTTGTAAGACTCAAAGCACTTTGACTGTCACAATAGAAGACAAGCTTCTCCACCTTCAGACCAAGACTCTAAATAATCCCTTGCAACCATATCTCCTCCTTTATTCCCTATGTCATGGA